ATAATCTTGATCTTTTTACTCCCAGTTATAATATCGTAATATAGGCAAAACTTGCTTTCGCCCTATTATCCATGTATTTTCTAGGAATTGATTTGAGATATTGTTAGATGGATATAATAGGGCGAAAGCAAGATATATGAAAAATAACATGACGTCCAATATCCATTCACAATACATTGGGCGCCATTTTGACAAGGCTTCTTCGTGCAATCGTCTACATCTGTAAGAAATGTTGTTAGTTCGTCCATATGCTGCCATAAATGAGGTAGATGTAAACTTCACTCACTTGTTTCGCAGTTTGGTCCAGTGTAACCAGCGGCACATTTACATGTGTACGAATTGACTCCATCTGTACATTTACCGCCATTTTGGCAAGGCTTCTTTGCACATTCGTCGACATCTGAAAATATGAATTTACGTAAGTAGGGAAACATAGATGTTAGATAAACTAAACTTCACTCACTGTTTTCGCAGTTCTTTCCATTAAAACCAGGAGCACACTCGCATTTATAAGCATTGACTCCATCGATACATTTGGCACCATTTTGACAAGGCTTCTTTGCACATTCGTCTACATCTGAATACAATTTTGGTGGTAAGAAAATAAATCTATGCATGCCGATTAGAGATAAACTTCACTCACCGGTTTGACAGTTCTTCCCAGCATAACCAGGAATACATTCACATGTGTACGAGTTCACTCCGTCGATACATTTACCGTTTGTACAAGGGTTAGGGACACAGTCGTCTGCATCTGAATACAATTTTGTTAATAAGTGAATATAAAGCTGTTGTTTTTTTTTTCGTGGGGGGGGAGCCGGGGGGCGGCACTAATATAATTATCATGCTTAGAGTATTAATTTTCAGACGATTTTTAAGTCATACTTGGAACAATAGTCCTTCTTCTTCTTCTTCGTCTTCTTCGTCTCCGCCAAGCTATCTGTCAAATCCAAACGAACAAAAAAAAAAAAAACGTGAAACGCAACATCGATTTTTGAATTTTGATTAAATAAAAATAAAACTATTAGCTTACTGTTTCTGTCGCAAGGCTGATCACCAGAATAAAGATCAAAACCTTGAGAAACATCTTTTAGTCGAAACTGTCAAAGAAAAGAAATTGCATTAGAATAAATCTCGTAGCCACAGTTGTCTTATTTAACAGATACTTTTCATTTGATGAAACTTTAGGCCTGGTAGTATGGATAGTGAATATATCAACCCATCGGATAAATAGAGGATATTACGTGGGCGCGCGGAGATACGGATTTTATCTTCGAGGTTGTATAACAGTCAGCACCGATCGGAACGAAGGAACGTTATGACAAGTTGAGCAAACAATACATAAGTCTTCCAAGCAATAAAACAAAACCTAACATAACAATAGAACTGCCTCACTTAGGAAGAAATCAAAAAGCACGTTTTAATCGATGCTGTATTACTGTAGTTCGAGTGTATAGTTTAATCCCTGGTAAGCGGACACCCCTGGAAAAATGGAAAAAGAGATCGTTGACAGAGATATCCGATTATGAGAAAGTGTGGATACAGTGTTTGCATGTGTGAATGATAAGCGGGGTTTTGGAAATGGTTTCGTAATTAGAGCTGTCTGCAGTACGAAAGCCTCCTCAAGTGGAGATTCGAGTGTGTTTAGAAATGAAGCATAGAACTTTGAGCTTGTTATCCTACCTTTAACAGTTCTGGAAAACGGTGTCGGTGGAACTATGAAAAAAAAAAAGACAAGGCGATGTAAGCAAACACCGATAATATTACTAACACAGATAAGCAACTGTTTTTGCGATTGCTTGTTAAACACATATATGCAATTAGTTTTCAAATTGTATCGCATAAACAAACATTTGCAAGGATGGTCTTCATAACGCTTACGAGTTGAGATCCTTCTTTTCTTCACAATCAGTACTGAACGTCGGGTAGGCAGTTTTGAATACTTCAAAAGGCCTGTTGCCCTGTAACTAATATATATATAATTAATAGCAGAAATAAGTCCTTCTTATTCTTAATGATGAATAGAACACCATTTCAACCAATAAGAGAAAGCCATGTATTTCTTTTATGATCTGATATAGCGTCGAGATATCGCACCAACAACAAACATGGGGAAAGCTAGCTTAATTAACACGAATCTGATATAATTAAACAATATACTCTTAGGATGGAGGAAGAATACATGTACATTAACCTTGCATATCAAAGCTACAAAATTTTTGATCATTATAGCTTCAAGATTAAGTCCGATTTAAACGATACTATTGTCGCGTGCGACTTGTTGTATACGACTCAAATTGCGTCGTGTAAAGGACAAATTAGAGGACACGACTTTGAATTGCCTACAACCATCACATGCCAACTGTGTAAGTCATCCTTACAACATAGCTACAGCTGTCGTTGGGATCTAAAACCATTGCTTAATAAGCCCACGACAGTTGAGCTATTTCGTAAGTATGGCTTACGCAGGTCGAATGCGATGGCTGTAGGCAAAAGTTGTGTCGTACGCAACCTACGACTTGGTATTAGGAATTTTCAACCTTTGATTATCGAAGGGAAATCGTATAATACAAGTCGCACGCAACAATGTGCTTGTAAATCGACCTTTATGTTTATCAATTTGCTATATTTACTGTATGCGAAAAGCCTCGCAATAAGATTCACAGTCAGTATTTTGTGAATGTCGTTGACATATTTGAATTTGAGGAATAAATGAGACAAGGATCGGTTTTGCAAATCATTGACACCTATCTGAATCCAATCATTAGTACTATAACGAGCCATTCAATAATTAGCAGCTATACAGGCTTAATTTGGGCCATTCAGTCAATGCAAAGGATATTACATGGGTGCTCGGAGATACGAATTTTATCTTAGTGTATTGAAAAAACCGAGAGATTTTTAATACGCGAAGATAGAATTTCTATCTCAAAGCGAAGAAGTAGTTATGCATTGATCATGTAACTACCAATTTACAGGGACGATACGCTTGTGGTTGTAACCTGGAACCAACCGAATGAAAACTTACGCGTGTTTAGTGATGTGCACATGCGCATTTCCGAGCGCCATCTTGAAAGGTAGCCGAGCCTTTGCATCAATATGAGACATCGGCTGCGCCTGCAATGCTAGAAAGTAAAAGGTACCAAACACTGCAGGCTCAACTTCTGTCTCGCTTTGATGTAAAGCCACGGTTTCATTTCAAGATGGCGTTTACAACTGTATAGGACCTTTGACACTTTTCAGCGCGAGGATCGCCACTTTGCTATCGAAAAACTCAAATCGTACGTGTAAACAGACATGCGATTGTTGCGACGATGGAAAATCGTCATGAAGTTGCAGCCAATTTTCAAACATGTTCGAAACTCATGCGATGGTCGCGCGACGATCGCCGAGAGAGTCGCTCTATAAAAAAAGTTCTCTGTCATTCTGTGCGCTTAATGATTTTGATAACGCTAGCTAAACCACTCGAATACTAAAACCCATGCTTAGCAATCATTTGCACTCATAACTAGCTTGGCATGACTAAGAATAGGTCATCCTAAAGCTGTTGCAGTCAGGGCTCTACACAATCATTGGTTTCGAATTGACAACCACTGAATGAGCCTCTGTACCATGCAAAGCCAATCGTCGGTAACTTAAAGAAGGCTGGCAAAAAAGGGTAGGAATACGAGCTCAATCATATTGTTTTAAGGAGTGTTGAAATCTTTTTACTCAGTTTTTAAGATTATAAAGATACACTGAAATAGATATTTCAAAAGTAGTTCTCTGACGAAGACCCGTTGTTTCTGTTAATGACAGACTTACGCGGAGCAGTCGTCCTCGACTACCTCGGGTTGTTCCACTGAAATTGAAAAACAAAGTATAAGTGTGATATAATTTAGAGAATTTAAGAAAAAAGAAGATCATGAAAGTTCTTAAATGAAAGCAATAGTCTTGACTAGGGATGTAGTGGTGCGATTTCTATTTAGAAAGATCTTGACATCCAAACCGGTTTACATAGAAGTAAACAATTTTTTTCAATAACTTTTTTTAATTTTTTAATTTTTAAGTTTTGCATCAAAATACTATGCGTGGCATTTTTAAAATTTGCGAAACATTATAAAAGACTTGGAAATCAAATAGACCTATCCATATGGGTCTAATAATCATGAAGCAACAGATTTCAAGAAGATATTGGTACAAATCCTTAATAATTTGGGCAAAAAATGTTGGAGGTAAATGGCGTCATTTACTCCATCCTTTTGTTCTTCCATCTTTTTAATTAAAATTTCTGTGATGTGGGATGATTCCAAATCAAATATTTTCCCGAAATTGTTTTTAATAGATACAAAAGAGTCATATATTTGTATTTTTTGATGTTTTAAAATAAGGGCATCTTCATTCAAGTAGCACTTTAAAGTTTGGACAATGAAGCTTGGGATAAAGCACTTCTAAATGGGCTCAATATTCTAGAGACATGTTATTGTTTTGGATTGATGAGGAATATCTTGAGCTCAGGGGTTGTTTTTCATACTTTTCACACAGAGTGCTCAATCTTATACAATACTTTTTTCAGCTTCTTCATGAAGTTTTAGTGCTTACCAAGTTCATAAACAAAGTTAGTGTAGTCAAGACCAACGCAGTGTTTTTCTCCGGGTAAACAATTCTTATAATCTATTCCTACACATTTAGAGGAAGCAATTTTGGGACCAAAATCTTCTGCTTTGGCTGAAGGGCCGCTCCAGCACTCTCCTAGAATGAAAACAAAAACATCAAAAATACGTACAGAAGGTCACAAACTGGAACTATGTATTAGCGGGGATGCTTGTCTGATACAACCGCATGACCAAGATTCCTATCATAGACATGTTGAATGAAAAAAAACAAAAAAAAAACTAATAAGTTCACTTTTAAAATAGTCTCCTTCACGGTTACGTACGCCATCTTGAAAGGTAGCCGTGCCTTTACATCAAAGCGAAACGACCGTTGAGTGTGCAATGATAGATAGCTGTAAATAGTTGTCTGTAGTTGTGAAAGAAGGTTTCTAACATTGCACGCTTAACGGTTGTCTCGTTTCAATGCAAAGGCACAGCCACTTTTCATGAAAAAAGAAAAACTAATGATAAATGGACTTTTAAAAGTTTTAAATATCGACTACGACTCAATATGCACGCCATTAATGGCCTTCTAGTATGACGCGTCACAGTTAGCCTCCTAGGAAGACAAACCGAATTCTTTTTAATTCGACACAAAAAGTTCCGTGGAGGAGGATGAATTGCAATTGCGAACAAAATTTCTTCTTCGCCGTTCCTTTCCCCATCTTAAAATGCTAACGGATGTTAAGGATGCCGGTATTTCTGAAATTTCCGGGATGCAAAAAAAGGTTTGAAAAACGGTTTCTATCGTTTACACCTCATCTCGCTTAAATGCAAAGTTACGAGGAGAGGAGACAATTGACTCACCAAAGTTCTGAATTCCAATGATCTTGTAGCCTAATAACTTAGCACGTTCAGAGCACCTACAAGCAATATCAGCCATGTAATGACCCCAGTTTACCCAATCCACATCTTTGTCGCTAGAAACTGGCGAGCCCTTATCACGATCGGTAAGGATCATCTTTGGCAAAGTTTTCTTTTTAACAACCCATGAATAGGAGTTGAAACAACCAATTCGTCTCACTTTGTTGCAAACAGGAGCTGAAGAAAAGATACAATATGAATGATTAAGTTCAATGCTAACCATTCTCTCCATGAACCTTTTTAAAAAGGCTGTGCATCGTTCTTGCTGCGGTGAAAGGCATTACCATAACAAGTGACTGAATATACTTACAGTTTTCACAGTTCTTTCCATTATACCCAAGTTTACATTTACATTCGTACGAATTGACTCCATCGATACATTCGGCACCATTTTGACAAGGCTTCTTTGCACATTCGTCTACATCTGTAAGAAATGTTATTAGTTCGATCAGAAAGCTGCGATAAATGTAGTTTATTTAAACTCAACGCACTGGTTTCGCAGTTCGGTCCAGTGTAACCAGCAGCACATTTACATGTGTAAGAATTGACTCCATCGATACATTTGGCACCATTTTGACAAGGTTTCTTTGCACATTCGTCGACATCTGAAAGAAATGTTGTTAGTTCGACCATATAGCTGCGATAAATGAAATAGATCTAAACTTGACTCACTGTTTTCGCAGTTCTTTCGATTAAAACCAGGAGCACACTCGCATTTATAAGCATTGACTCCATCGATACATTTAGCGCCGTTTTTACAAGGGCCATCAGCACATTCGTCGACATCTAAAAAGAAATAGTATAAGTTGGGAAACAACTTTAAGATCAACCAAACTTCACTCACTGTTTTCGCAGTTCTTTCCACTGTAACCAGCAACACAATCGCATTTGTAAGAGTTGATCCCGTCAATACATTTGCCATTTTGGCAAGGGTTCTTCGCACAATCGTCAATATCTATTAACAAAAGATGAATCGGTTATATCATATAAGAATCATTATAGTTTTAGATGTCCATTTATTCTTTACTGGGTGAGGACAAGGTAGTTTTGACCGAAAAATTAGTGGCGACCTATGGTGGATGTTTGATACGAAATGCTGATTGAAAAGAATTAGTCCTTATGTTCTTCTACGGTATTTCAAACTTACCAGTTTCACAATGATCGCCAGTGTATCCCGAAGGACAGTCACATGTAAAGCTCCAATCACTACCGATACATCTCGCATTATTCAAGCAAGGAGAGCTAATACATGGGTTACCTAAAGAGAAAACGATGGAATTAGCACTCTTAAAGGTATCCTAACAAAGTGGGATAGATTCACATTGGCACTATTTTCATATCCATACCAATCTCGAGCCTAGAGTCTTCATGGCTAATGTCTGCGGTATGCCGATGCCGGAAAGACTTCGGGGGAATCGACCACTCAATTTCCCTAGTTCATTATGACGTCACATCAAAACATTCTATTGTTTTAACGCTAAGTATTATGGTCGCCAGAGGGGATCAGAGTGACTGCATATCAAATAAATTGTACATGAACAATCATTTATACATGATATATATCAAAACGGGATTCATTGAAGTTCTACTTTAGTATACAAAATAAATGGGTCCAAATTTCCACTGTTTTTGAGCATCGTTTTCCGATATAAACATACTGTGACGTCATAATGAAATAGGGCAATTTGCGACGCTTTTCCGTCACACATTATGCAAATCACCCGCTGGATGGCAAAAGTGCGGGCTCTGGGTACGAGATTGTATCCACACTTGTATTCGAACCAGGGCAACCAGCTTGATGAGGTGATACCATATATAGCGGTCATAAACTCTTTTTAGGATAGGCTATGGGCTGAGTTATATATCAGTCTTTGTGTTTATGAGCCTGTGATATGAAACTGCGTTTCAAATCTGTACCTATGGTTTATATAACATACTAACCCTGCAACTCCGGGATGGTCCGCCTCTCAGGTCCGTTATTTTCTACAAGTTTGAATGAAGAGGTTATCAGCAATGACAAAGAATATTGGATAGGACTTAACATGATATTGTTAATAAAGAGCGATGATACTGAAAAAAATATACATACATACCATTAACAGCGGGCGATGAAATCCATGGAAATGCCTAAAACATGTACAAAATTAAATTGAATTTACCATTACAAGATCGTACAAGTGCAATCACTTTCTCTATTGCATTCTCGTTCTCAATTAAACAAGTATTTCTTGTTTTTAGTGCCCAAAACATTTCTAATAAAAACATATATGTAGTTGACTCTACATTTCTAATAATCAACTTGCTATTTAATTTAGCCAAAATGCACGGATCGTCTTTGTACTTATTTAAGAAATACATAATGGGCTGGCACATGTCTGCTCTCAGATATAAACGCGGTGGAGAAGAACACAAACTTTTCCTCGACAGAAACCTTACCATTGCTGGAGCGAAGGTCATCACCAGGACAATTAGCAGCTGAACAGCCTTCATTTTATTGATTCTCACTTCCACAGGCAGGGATGGACTGCAATAAATGTACTTAGAATTATACTAACTGAAACGGTATAACAGTGAAAATGAAAAAAGCATGATATTTCCATGGCTCGGTGATGTTGCCTAATCCTTTGCATCAATAATGAAGCTAGAACTATTGCAATAAAGCAATGATGCTTCTCTTAAAAGCTAGAAGTCAAATGAATATAGTTTTCCTCGTAAAAAATCAACTATTCACTGATGAAATATGTATAAAAAAGTTGACTTATATTAACATTTTGAAACGATTCTTACCCAGTTCAGCAAAAGTCTGTTTTGAAAGTAACTTCGAAGATGTTGATTAATCGTCTTTTATGCGTTCCCCTATTACTATAATCATCGTTAACAGCTTAACTCTTTATTATCCCAAATGACGATGGAAATCGCTATTTCCACCAATAAGAAAAAGCCATTCATTTCTTATCTGATGCGTTACAAGGTCAAAACAAGCGTGTGAAAACTTTGTCTAATTAGCACAAAGATATACTACTAATTAGACAATAGACTTTGGGATGGAGGTGGAATAGTCCGCGCTTATTTAACATCGAAACTCTAATGACCAATGTTAATTAGTCAGGCCACTGATTGAAAGGCTGACAAATTCATGATCAGTATCACCTATTTCAAAAGAATGATAAATAAATTCATTTACATTGGGAACAGAACATAAATCGTATATTTTTAAATTTTTTTCTCGATACATTTATTAAACTTGCCGAAGTCTATGTGTATGTGTCCCCCACCCATCTCTACCCTAGTATTTATTTTAATTGGTATACAACTGTTTCAGAAAACGTTAAATACTATATACTGTATTTTCACGCATTGCACTAAACTCACCGCTCGCTGCGTTACAAAAAAAAACAATTCTAAACAATAAATTGCTTTCCAATGAGTTCTTTCAAATAAAAACTGCACGGAGCTGGTATAGCCACCTCGAAACTCATTGATTGGAATGTTGAGAAATTCAGAATCACCTATATTCTCCGTTCGCTGCGTAACAAAAGAACAGTTCTAAACTGAATTGCTTTCTAATCAGTTCTTAACTGGACGGAGCTGGTACAGTCACCCTGAAACCCGGTACGATGAACAATGCATTTTGGATTTGAAATAAACTATCTTCATGATTATATATTTACTCAAAGTTTTCTGAAATAGCTTTGATTTTCTTTCAATGCCATTGCAACATCATTTATGATTATTAACAAAGAGTTCCCCATGTATTATCATTTATGATTATTAAAAAAGAGTTCCCCATGTTATACTTTGATATTTTCTCATATCTTATCATGCAACTGCCCATTCAATCTATAGACCTGCTACACTGTTCAATTTTCCCCAGCAACTTGAAATAATTTTAAAATAGCCTGGGAGTCAGATAATCCAAATGAGAAATTGCCTTTTCTTTAATAGTGTACGTGACATAGCAATATTGTGAAAAAAGTTGTTGTGCAGCTGGTCTTTTGTATTTTAAATCTCAAGGAAACGATTTTGAAGGGGCAATATAATCCTAAGACAAAGTCAAAAGAACAAAAAAATAATTCTCCATTTTTTTTAATTTAGAAGCAAATAATCACAAGCAAATGACAATAATCTCATCCTCACAAGTAATCAATATGGTCTAGTAAACAATACTAAACATTTCAATATTATCAAAGTTGATGTGACCCCAACCAGTACTACTTTGGTCAACTGCTCGCACTTTTGCCAATTTTCCCAAGTAACAGGATACATCCCATTCGGATGTTACCATGGTTTCCAAGCACTTGCCAGTTGCCATGGCGACGATTTCTTCGTCAACTTCTAGCTCTAGTCGGACAACATTGCTGTCACAACCTCCACCAATCAGAAACCTTAGCTTGTATCCAGTTATTAGAAAAGATGGCGAGGTTAAGTTTCCTTGAGGTTTGTCTAATTGTACAGCCCCAGCTTTATCGCTTGGACTTGGTCGATTTTCAGCTCCTCCGATCCACCAGTTCCCCTTGTGGTTCGACGGCTCTTTTTTCCTTGCTGTGGGGTTATCTCCATATGTTGGTTGGTTACTGAAAGCTGTACCAGTCAGTGTCCAAGTTGACAATGAATCTTTTCCTTTCTCAAAGTCATACAACTTAGTCCACACTTTGTAAATAAAAACAAAAACAAAAGCGTTAAATACAAATTATAAAAGAAAACGCATAAATAACAAAATAAACGATATAAAAGTGAGGGATAAGTGACACGGATACAGCCATGTTTACGAAATTCACAATTTATATGATTTTGTTCGACAAACCGAAAACAAACAAACATCAGCTTGGAAAATCTACAAAACTAGAGGGCAAATGGTTGAGTTATTTTAAAGAATTTGAGCATTAAATTTCTACTATTTCTATTTCCATACCTACCACCGATGAAAATTTATTAAACATTTGGTATTTCTATTAGTGGTACAAGGTACTGCAGTTTCGAGACCTTATTTTAATAATAATTAAAAAGATGGCTTAACCTCTAACGTCGCGTAATACATCCTTTTAATCAGGAAATTTTCAATTTGAATTCAATGCATTAAGTCAAAGACAACAAAATGTTCTGCGTGATAGAACCTAAGGCTTTGTAAAAGTGATTTCAAAACTGGGGTATTCAGCATTAGTGCATTCTGTTGTAAGATTCCATCATCAGATTGATATAATCATAATCATTATTATTGATAATTAAGTATTATTACTACCTGGTGGTGGCTCGTACATCATTAGGTGATCAAAGTTGATATGGCCCCACCCTTTCGTGCTGGAGTCAACCAGTATTACTTGTGCCATACTTCCTAAATAATGTGATTGAATAGACCATTCTTTTTCAACCATAGTTTCTGAGCATCTCAATGGTCTGGTAACAAGAATCCTCCTAGAATAAAAACCAGAACGAACGTAAAGACCTGCGTAAATTGAATATTTATTTGACGAACCACATCCACCACTAATCAGGAACTTGAGTCTGGTCCCAGTCAGCCTGAAAGGTGGTGACTTCATTGTTCCTGTAGGTTTGTCTAATTGCACAGCCCCAGCTTTATCGCTTGGACTTGGTCGATTTTCAGCTCCTCCGATCCACCAGTTCCCCTTGTGATTGGACGGCTCTCTTTTCCTTGCTGTGGGGTTATCTCCATATGTTGGTTGATTGTTGAAAGCTGTACCAGTCAGTGTCCATTTTGACAAGCCATCGTTTTCAAAGTCGAACAAAACTCGCCAACCCGCTGAAGCTAATTGAAAAAAACAAGTTTTCATGTAAGTTGGTCTCACGTTGTCTGTGAATAGCAGTGTGATATCTTGGTATGTGTACAGACAGCCCGTAATTGTCCTATTGCGTTATGAGGTCACATCAAGACATTCTATTGCTTTAACGGTAAGGATTTTGATCGCCAGAGGCGATCAGAATGGATTCATATTAAATAAAAAATGTAAAGCATCAATCTTTGATGCATGATATACATACATCAAAGAATTGCCCCACAAAGTTTGTCCTTCGTTTAGCAGCCATATATGGTAATCTTACCTTATTTGGAAGTTCGATAGGAATGGTTTTTGTCGATTTTCTCGACTTTTTGTTTCCATATATGGCATGGATTCGCTAAAGGAAGCCCAAAACTAAAAAGCACAGGGAACCCGCACGAATGATATACAATTCTTTGATGCCGCCCATCAAAACATTAGTTCTAGCAAAGATATTCCCTACTTACCATTTATGAATTTACAAGAGGTTGTTGGCTTAATGATTTTTGTTTGACCCAATTTTTTCTCACAAAACACATCACTCCATTGTAAAACGTTCCCCGCAGCATTCGCTCTATAATCAATCGCCATAATCTTGATCTCATCAGCTCTAATAACCTTATTCCAAATATTGATCCCAGAAAGTTCTCCAATGAAGTTTTGGGTAGATTGAAAGCCACCTCCGACACTATCTTGTTCCTGGCCGATGATGAGAGCGCCATTAGGTTTGATCACGTGTCCTTTCTTGAATGCATGCTTGGCAGCTTGTTGTCCATCTTTATAGATGAGTGCCTGTCCACCTGAATTCTCCCACGTTCCACATATATGATGCCATTCACCGTCTGCTACATTCAGCCGTGTGTTCCTGCATTGAAAGTGTGCATAAGATAATACATAGATATTTCAAAAAAGGCGCACAGAGAGATTGGAGAAAGCACGACTGAAAAAATTAAGATACTATATGTTTAGCTAGATTATTGATGGAAATGTTGTCTTTTCCAATGGATGAAGATGATTTCTCCGCGTTTTTCATCAGGGTAAATACTAACCATCAATGTTGACTACCAACATTAATTGCAGTACAAATGACAACTAAACTGCCAAAATTATCAAAAATAATGAAACAACGAATTGATTATTAGATAATTGTCTCCTTCACGGTCCTATGCGCCATCTTGAAATGTAACCATGGCTTTGCATCGAAGCGAGACGACCACTGAGCGTGCAATGGTAGATACCCGTAAATCATTTTCTATTGGCATAAGAGTTGCTATCATTGCATCTTCTTGTTTCGATGTAAAGCCATGTTTGTCTTTCAACATGGGGCAGGGAACCGTGAAGAAGACGACTTATTTTATGTCAGGAGTGTGCTTAAAAAAACGAAAATGAGACGTTAAACTGAACTGACGTTTTCAAAAAAAGGGTCCCCAGACATACATAGTCCCATTAGCGCTCCCATTAGACTAAAAACACAAGCCGTGCCCTCCCTAGCTACGTCCCTGATAATTACCAAACGGAAGATCCGATCCAAAATAGAAGTGACTTTGGTTCGTTTAATAGCACTTCATTAGTTGATCCAAGTACTGCATAACTGATGACTGAACTGGCCTTTCTCTTATCAACAGTCTTTAACCAGACACACAGCGTTATTGCGGTCATTGATGGCACTGGTCTTGATATCTTGACATAGTCTTCTGCAGAAGCCCTAGTGAACTTGATATCAAAGTCAACTAGAGAAAAGAAATGACATTGAAATGACTGACTGGATGGACATTCAATCACAAGTACGAAGTCGTGTTGGCAATCCCAATTTTCAATCTTGAAAAGTAGCCAAACTTTTGCATCAAAGTGAGACAGGACTTGAGTCTGCAGTGATACGTAACTTTTGTTTAAACCTAAGAATAAAATCCACACGTATCTATCATTGCAACCTCAACTGCTGTCCTACATTGGTGCAAAAGCTTGGATGCCTTTGAAGATGGCGCAGGTAACTGTAAAATGAAGTGTTACTTCGTATTCGGTGAAAAGCCTCATATCTTACAATCTTGAGTGAATCTAAGGACTTTTTTTGTAATTACATTTGGACCAGTCAAAACCGATCGAAACGGGTCTCATGATAGGTCGAGAGTACAATGGATAAACAATAGATAGCTTAAAACAAAACCTAACCTAACAATAGAGCTGCTGCACTTAAGCAGCAATCAAAAAAGCAGGTTTGCTGTGTTAGAGTGATTTTCATCCGTCTGTTGAATAGGAATTGGACTATTAAATACTATTAACCCCTATTAGCTCCCAATAGTTTAACTTATGACTTGCGACAAACTAATAGTCGAGTTTCGCGATCTCTTTTACGCTGTGTTAGCCTCAATTGTGTGCTAAAATATTCAGAAATGTAGATAAAACTCGTGAGATTTCAAACTATTTCCATTGTCTTCTATACTCACAGATCTCGTGCATTTGCACGGGCTGTTGTGAATAAAAGAATTTATTACATGGTTTTGAGGCTAACACAGCGTAAAAGAGATCGCTAAAAGGGTTTATTAGGCAAACACGATTTTGATTTTGCCTTTTGGTAGCCTACTACACTCTAATAGATACTGACTAGTGGTTATTGTTCGACAGACGGATGAAAATGACTCTACTGTTACATTTTACTGTTAGAGTACTTACTTTCTGTGTTTTTGCAAGATGTTTGGTTGTCTATAACCTGAGTTTCACCTCCTATATACCCACAATAAGCATCAGTCCACTGCACTACGTTTCCTTGCGAACCTTGAATTTCATTTGCCTTTGTAGGGTTAAGCGACATTTGCTCGATTTCATAAAGCGAAAGGATCTTTCTCCAGAGATTGATCCCAGAAAGTTCACCAATGAAGTTCTGTGTTGACTGGAAACCGCCTCCTACCTTGTCTTGCTCCTGTCCGATGATAATACTTGAATTTTGGTTATATTTTATGGCATGATTTGGCTCAAGTACAGTTCTGGAAGCCTGCTTTCCATCAAGAAAGATAGCTGTTTGACCAGCCGCTTGATTCCAAGTCACACAGACATGATGCCACCTATCGTCTGCTATATTTACTCCAGTGTTCCTGGAAAAAAAAATCAAAGAAATATGGCCGCTCTTAAAATTCGAGAAGATTAATGCGTCAAGGTCACCAAATTTTAGAACGAAAGAAAACTGTAACTTTTTCTCTAGCCTGCTAACAGGCGTTCCTGCTGAGGGCCGAGAGAGAATGGGGAGGAGATTCTCTCTCGGCCCCCAGCAGGAACGCCTGTTAGCAGGCTACTGTTTCTCAAGATTAAATGATACAACAAAAATATTATTATACAGCAATATGCGGAAATTATGATCTTTTTTACTCATTTTCAAAGTATATATGAAATGTTCAGAAAGTATGGGATATGATCGTTGAAGTTGCCTAGCACTAGTACTTTCTGAAAAAATATAGGAAATGATATCCATTGTTTCCGATATATTTCATATATATATACTTGAAATATGAATCAAAAAGATAATAATTTCTGCATATTGCTGCATAATATAGATGTTACATGTGCGCACGTAGATACGGATTTTATCTACGAGTGTTGAAAGATTTTAATATATAAATATCTGTTTATCATATTACATATGAAAGCAAATTATGTCGTAAAATACCTTTTTTCTTACTTCCATATATATAGAAACAGCTCAAATGAAATAACAACTTTATGTAATAAAGAAATATAGGTATTTTACAGCCTTTTCCAAAAATTATGAGAATTGTYGAAATATCTAAATATCATAATATCAAGTACATGATGGGTAATCCCGCGCGATGCCCTTAGTCCCTTGTCTTTGTAGTTTAGTTTTTTTTTGGCGACAGACTTATATCCGTAGTTCTGAACATTTTCTCGATGTCAACAATGAATTATTCTAGCAAACCCGCGTGTTCCGGACAATATATGGATATGGATATTATGATATTTAGATATTTAGACAATTCTCATAATTTTTGCAAAGGGCTGTATAGATAATTATACGATAATATATAAATTAGTCCTTGGACACTCCTTGTAATGATAGCTCTCCTTTGATATCTAATTCCTGGTAGAGTGATCGCACTAAATGCGTGAAATATAGATACTACAAAATAGGTGATAAATTATACAAATTCCTTTGTTTCCTATTGTATAATCAACACTATTTAGTAGTAATTAGTACTATTTGTTTTATGCTTTTTAAAGTGCAAGCAGTCAATCTGTTTATGGAATATAAATACAATGATTTCCACTATTTACCAACTCTTCGATCCAATCCAGAAAAGCAGAGATTTTGGCTGATTCAGCAATATCTCATTATCAGATCCTTCCACAGCATAACTAAAAATACCGCTACCAACTCTCTTATCAGCAGTCTTTAACCAGACACACAGCGATAGTGAATAAATCCTAGATGTGATTGGTCTCTTGACTTTGATGTAGTCTTTGATAGAGGCTCGAGTGAATTTGATGTCGAAGTTTGCTTCAAAATAAAGTTGAAGTATTAGAGCAAACGCAGGAAAACCATGAAATAAAATCAAACTAAATACTAACAAATAGCGGCTATTTAGAGACAAATTTTCAGTATAAATGAACCAGAAAGCAATAAATATGAATGAAAAATAGTCCCATGTGGATTCATCTTCATTGTGTTCTCGTTCATTGATACTGACAAATTGTCTCTAAATAGCCGCTATTTGTTAGTATTTAGTTTGATTTTATTTCATGGTTTTCCTGCGATTGCTCTAATGGACGTTAAAGTGCACATGAACCCTTTTAGAAAATCATTTTTAACAAAAGGCAACTTAATGCTAGTAATTGTTTTGAAGAAAAAAATTGTTTGAATTTTATTTTCTGACTTAAAGGCATTTAAAAATTGAAAATGCTAGTGAAGTGACTCCAAAGAAAGCTTCATTAGATATACGAACTTTGAAGGAGTCGCTTAAAAATGGTTTTATGACATTAAATTTATCGTAGGCAATGTAGAGAATAACCATATTCCCAGATGTCGTTTTTAGCGACTGTTTTAAAGATCGTATATCTAATGAAGCCTCCCCTGACGTCACTTCATTAGCATTTTCTATTTTCAAATGCCTTTAACTCAGAAAATATAATTCAAATAAACAAAAATAGCTACTTGTTTAAATCCCAGGCCATCATCATTAGTTTTTACTTACCATCAGATCTTCTACAAGAGGACTTTCTGATCAGATTATTTTTACCATACACCGCATCGGACATAATGTCACTCCAAGATATAGCATTCCCAGAAACATCCATCTTGGGATCAAGCGCCATTACCTTGATCTCTTCTGCAGTAAGCAACTTATCCCATATGTTAAAACCGTAAAGACTACCAATGTAGTTCCAGTTATAGCTAAATTCACTTCCTGTACTCTGCAACTGACCAATTACAAGAGTACCACCAGGTCTGATCTCAGTGCCACCTTTCAATGAATTCTGTTTAACTGACCAACCATCTTTATATAAGGTGACTTTTTGAGACTTGTAATCCAAAGTAAAACAGACATGGTGCCATCTGTCATCGGCTACGTTAACGTTAATGTTGCTGAAAAAGAGGTTAGACTTTTATGGAAGGTTCCTCAGTTACTCAATGAATCTATACATAGCATTGAAGAGTGGTTTTCAATAACCCGCGAAACAAAATGCAATAATCAAAGTGTAAAAATAAAACGAAACGATGCAAAACGAAACAAAACAAAACAAAAATTTAAAAAATGGAAAATCTGTTTTAACTTTTCACATAACAGTACATCAATAAAACAAAACACTTGAAAATGACGAAACACAATAGAATACCATGAAAACGAGAATGAAATGGATGAGGAAGCATTTTGAATACCCTTTTTCAAACAGTTCCATGCCTAACTTCATTGACCTTTCGAGCGACAATGGAAGTGGCAATACAGAAAATAAAAAAACTTACTATTGTAGGTTGTTAAGATTATAAGTAAGTTTCTGTGGATAGTACAGAATAAGCTCATACATCGCTTCAGGCACTTTATAACTAAAGATTGTTCTTGCTCTATTCTGATCAGCAGTCTTGATCCATAAGCAGTAAGTTAGTGCAGTTAGTCGCGGCAGTGTTTTCTTCACATATACGTAATCTTCTCGCGATACTCGGTTGAATTGGATGTCATAGTTTGCTTCAAAAGGAATAAAAAGATCAAAATTAGAACAAAATGAGGTCATGTTAACACAGAGTTTACTGGAAAAAGAGTGAGAGATCGAGTGAGTGAGTGCTAAATTAACTCCAATAACCCTAATATTGGTTGAAGAGCGTTTCTGCGAATTGAATTGTACTAGGCCTGCAGACCCGAAGTCGACAATGCCTAAACTACTGAACTACTGTATATATTAGAGCGGATTTCGTATGAGTGGGACACCGTTGCCGCACGGTTACCGCACAGTTACCGGACCTGGCCTGCACACTTTTTGTGAACCAATGGAGCACTAGAATTTGCTTACAGTACGATTACGGTCACAATACAGTACCGTCCGTTTCCCACTCATACGAAATTGACTCTATACTTCTTTCAGCAAATTGGAGTCGTGTAAGTCTACTCTAAAAATGATCCAATAAGTGATACACTAATTTCTACTTGAACCTACCTGTCCATGGCGCATACCACATCTCAAAGTGATCAAAATTGATGTGCCCCCAACCAGCACTGCTGGCGTCAATCAATCGCACTTGAGCCCGTTTTCCAAAATTCTGAGCTTCAACTTCCCACTCCTGTGTTGTCATGGTTTCAGAGCATTTTCCAGTTGCCTTATCAACTACTTGTCCATCAATCAAAAGCTCTGCGCGTACCCAATTGATAGCACAGCCCCCACCAATCAAGAACCTCATTTTACTCCCTGTGATCGTGAAATGTGGTGACGTCATTGTTCCTGTAGGTTTATCTAATTGTACAGCACCAGCTTTATCGCTTGGACTTGGTCGATCTTCAGCTCCTCCAATCCACCAGTTCCCCTTGTGATTGGACGGCTCTTTTTTCCTTGCTGTGGGGTTATCTCCATATGTTGGTTGGTTACTGAAAGCTGTACCAGTCAACGTCCATTTTGACAAGTCAGCTTGGCCGTTTTCAAAATCAAATAAAACGTACCACCCTGGCGAGGCTAATGTACAAAATTTAAGGTACATATTTGTAAGCTATGAATAGCCGATTTGTATTATGGCGTCATAAACTACAACTACCAGAATGCTTTGCCAACTTTCTTTTGTAATGCAATTAGTGCTAATTGTTTTATTAATCTCCAAGGGGATTAAAAATCTGAATAACAATGAAAATGAGCAAGGCTCTCTGGTAGTTGTAGTAAAGTTACTTCATCATGCAAATAGCCTATTGGAAGAAAGTGATGATAGAAAATTCATGGTTCGTTTATATAATTCCCAGTAATTTTTCTGAGCATGCACCTGACTGTCCAAGTTGAGTGAATCATGAACTTCTTCACCATCGATGTCAAAAAGTTCTCCTTGCATCCATGGACCTTTGCGACCGTTTGTTTTGTTTAATGAAAGATCTGTTGTTGAGAGTTTCTTTCTGATTGGTACAAATTAAATCAAAGATGGCAATTTTTCGTATGTCAGAGAATTTCGCAAAAGTTATCGGATGTCTTGTGCCTTAAATAACTGAACTGGAAAAGTTGATCAATTTACAGAGTCTGTACATTATTCAATTTACAGACAAAATGTCCTTTTACAAACTTTGTAAATTGATATTACAAGATATTTACAAGTTTGATCGAGCAAAATTAAAAAAATATCTAAAAAATATTTAAAACAACATTTTGTCTGTAACTTGAGTTTGAATTATATTTAAATATCATTTACAAACTCCATAATTTAACTAATTCGTTAAAATTTGTTAATTTTATAATTTTTGTAAAGAAAAACACCAACGTACCCAAGTCCAGACTCGTACCCAGTCGTTACTCTTCACTTCTATGTCGCCCGCAAAGGATCAAGGGTAGTTCGGACTTCCCTTGATGCACCTTGATCCGTGCAACAAGTAAGGGAAACGACTGGGTACGAGTCTGTACCCAACCGCAAATAAGAAAACTTACCAATGGGCATTTTTCCTAACGAGGGCCTGATGAATTTCAATTCTCCATAGATATCTTGACAAGGTATATCCTTCCAAGCCAACACATTTCCAGAAAAATCGCTGTTAGAGTCTATTGCCATGGTATTGATCTCCGCGGCAGTGAGAACTCTATCCCAGATAGTGATGCCAAAAAGATCACCTATAAAGTTCTGGCTTGATTGAAATCCACCTCCAAATTTATCCTGCTCCTGGCCAACGATCAGAATCCCATCGGCTTTGATCACATGGCCTTTCTTAAATGAATGAGTCGCCGTCTTGTTTCCATCTTTGAAGATAGCAGCTTGACCGGCGGTGTTCTCCCACGTGACGCAGACGTGATGCCAAATATTGTCTGCTACGTTAACTCCAGTTTTCCTACGGATGTCATAAGATATTTGAACTATAACGCGCAGTTTGATTGGGTAGATATATATACCTCACTTTGATTGGTTGATAAGCTGAAAATGCTTGTATCAGACTAAAGTGTCTGCTCTTTTCACTCTGAGGGACTGTGCACTAATCATCAACATGGGACTGGGTAACAAAAGGCTCCAGAAATATTCAAAATAACGATGTGACGCCGTTTTTTAACGAATAAGTCCCATGTGCAGATAGTTCAAAACATTTTGATACAATGACCGAAAGTAGTTGACCAAAATGAGCTGTTGAAACCGATTGTTGTTGTTTAAGTAAAAATATTTACAACTGCAATACTACTCCAGTTTCGAAATCTTATTTGTGCAGCCTTAACTTGATTGAAGCTAATCTTGCACAAAAGAGAATTCGAAACTGTCTTCGACTTAGATAGGAAATTAGGTCTCCTTGCAGCGGTGAAAACTCTTTTGAAAAGCTTTTCATCGAGAATTGTTTGTGATAATTGTGAAGTGGTATTGAAATAGCTGCAAGAATGAAATAATAATACTGCCTACCAACGAGAAGATGCAATCCAGAAGGAGAGAGATTTAGGAATATTCAGGACAACTTCATTGTAAGATCCTTTGGCTGCATAGCTTATCATTGTGGCATCGCTTCTTGAATCGAGAGTTTTCAACCAGGTGCATATTGTAATTGCAGTCATTGAGGGAACTTKTCTTGTTACTAGCTTAACGTAGTCTTTTACCGATGCTCGAGTGACTCTGATGTCGAAGTTTCCTTAAAAAAATGAAGACTAAATACAGAAAACGTTGAATACCGAATATTGTATTCCAAAACTGCAATGCATTGTTGGTCATTCTATTGTCGTCGAAAAGGAGTTTTTTGTGATTTCAGAGTGAGTATTGACTCTATAGCAATACTTCGTGTGACGTAAGCCTTTGTTATTCATATGTCAACCAGAAGATGATTGGCTGTTAGAAAAAAGCGACTAGTGAAAAGCCATCAACTTTTCGTTGACATGTTGGCTTTTCCTTGACAAGGAAAAATTGTCATTTTTACCCCATTTACACTAGCACTTTTTCCTTGTCAAGCAAAACTTGTCAAGGAAAAATTGCTCGTGTAAACGGCTCTTAAGATTAGAATGTCATTTTGTTTTACGCAGCTGACGTGGAATTCAAAAGAATCAATGGATTACGCTATGAAGTATTTATAAGTCAGTATTCAACGTTTTCTGATTTACATGAACTTTATTCAAAGATTTTGTGAACAGCTCACGTGTTATGATCAGAGGTGCAATGACATATAGCTATTTCAAAAAAGGTTCTCAGATAAAATAGCGAATATCAATGGTCGAATGGCGATTACACGACCCAAAGTAACCATGAGTTTTGCTAGTCGAAAGGCAATAACAACTGCTTTGTACTGTAAGATGGTCTTTGGTAAACATTGGCTCCATTTAGTCTCCATTACTATGTAAGGTGAATCCAATAAGTGAAATGTTGTTTGTCAAAATAGTGCAACCATAGTCCCTTTCGGTCGTGCAAACTCTCTTCAACAATCGCCGTTAGCCGTTCTCCCCGACAACATTTTTTGAAATAGCTGTATATGAAATTCTCACTTACGATCGACGTTTTTACATGAAGCCTTAACGTATTGAAGCTCGCCGCATTTTTGACCGGATATTACGTCATCCCAATTTAATACAGTACCGGAAACGTCCATTTTAGAATCCACTGCCATAGCCTCGATGTTCGTGTCACTGAGCACATTATCCCAAATATTGATCCCAAAAAGATCACCTATAAAGTTCTGGCTCGATTGAAATCCACCTCCAAATTTGTCCTGCTCTTGTCCAATGATCAAAATCCCTCCACCTTTTATCACGTGGCCTTTCTTGAAAGTGTGATTTGCGACCCGGCTTCCATCTTTAAAGGTAACTGTTTGGCCTGTGACGTTTTCCCACGTGGTACAAACATGGTGCCACTCGCCGTCCGCTACACTGACACCGGTTTTCCTGGAAGGACATAATGAGATTGGTATCAATTTACTTAGGAGGAACCCACGGGTTCCTGGGAGAAATATATCTGTTCTTATGTCCCAGTCAGCTGTAAGTCACAATTGGTTACCAGCGAGAAATTCATGAAAAAAGAACTCTCCAGGCAAGGAATACTTTCTTAGAATATTTGCCGCTTATAAGACCCGCTTACCACACGGATCCGATCCAAAACCAAAGAGCTACTGGATTATTGAGCAGAACGGCATTGCTCGAACCGCCTTTTTCTGAGTAACTTATCATTGAAGCAGATCCTCTTGTGTCCTTAGTTTTAATCCACGTACAGATCGTCAACGCAGTCATCGTAGGGATTTCTCGCTTGATGGAAATATAATCTTCAACTGATGCTCGGGAGACTCTAACATCGTAGTACACTAGTGTTAAATATAAATGGAGGATGTTACATGAAGAGATACGGATTTTATCTTTGAGTGCTAAAAAGATTTTCAACACGAGAAGGTAAAATTCGTATCTCCAAGCGACCATGTAATATTCTCTTTATCATATATGAATACATGAAATACCTCTTTTATGCCTTCAAGTGCTACTTGCATGAAAATGGTCTTATTTCAAAACTTCAAGCAATACAAATATATGACTCGTATATTCTATTAAAAACAATTGCGGGAAAATATTTGTTTTGGAATAATCCCATCAGAGAAATTTTGATTCAAAAGATGGAAGAACAAAAGGATTGAGTAAATGACGTCATCTACTCCAACATTTTTTGCCCAAATTATTAAGGATTTGTATCAATATCTTCTTGAAATCTGTTGCTTCATGATTATTAGACCCATATGGATAGTTCTATTTGATTTCCAAGTCTTTTCTAATGTTTCGCAATTTTCGTCCAAGTAGCCCTTTCATATATATGGAGAAACGTCGAATGTTTTTTTTTTAACTAGTGAATATTGCATGTTCCTCTGCAAATAAGAAAATCTAACTTACATAACTCATAAACATAGTAGATATCATCTCCCCAAGAACAAATATTTTGTGCTTGACCGCTGATATTCTTATATTTTCCAGAACAACTCAACGCAAGATGATTGTTTGACTTTTTCCAGTTTGTAGCGTTACTGCTCCAACACTCACCTAATGGAAAACGAAAAAAATACGGAATAAGACTTAAATTACTGGAAATTGTAATAGAGAAAACGCAGGAAAACCATGAAATAAAATAAAATCTGTCTTATTATATTTTATTCTATTATATAACTTATTGATTGTATCCTATGTATAACATTATGTTGATTGTTAATAAAGAAATTACAGAATCAAAACAAACAAACAAACAAAATAAATACTAACAAATTGCGGCTATTTAGAGACAATTTGTCAGTATCAATGAACCAGAACACAATAAAGATGAATCCACATGGGACTATTTTTAATCCATCTTTATGTGCCGGGTTCATTGAAAGCTCGAAAGGGATGCTGGTATAGACCATGTCCCTTTAAGACTCACCAGAAATCTTCAGCCCAAAGACTTCATAACCAAGTTTTCTTGCGTTATATGCGCATCTACACGTAAGAGTCGCAAGATAGTGGTTCCAGTTGACCCAGTCGATTGTCACTCCACTATAGACGTTCGAGCCTTTGTTGCTATCGGTGAAGAGCAGCTCGGGCAACAGAGAGAAACCCGTTGCGTTTGTTAAACATCCGATTCTATCACCTGTCGGGCATGCTATAGCAAAAAAAAAACATTAATATAGTTAGAGTCAATTTCGTAAGAGTGGGAAACGCACGGTAGAAATTACCGCACGGTTACCGCACAGTTACCGGACCTGACCTGCACAATTTTTGTGAAGCAATGAGACACTAGAATTTGGTTACAGTATGATTACGGTTACATTACAGTACTGTCCGTTTCCCACTCATAAGAAATTTACTCTATTAACTACGTATTTTTTATATCTTTACGTAAATATTTGTGGCACTGCGTAAAAATCCGTTAAAATCCGTAAAGAAGATATATTGATATTAACGCAATGATTACTATATTTTTTTAAAAATCCGTGAAACAATACAAAATGCGGAAACTTTCCATAGTAATACACGTAAGGAATAGGTTATCCGTAACGATAAGATAAGTCCTTTCAAAATACTGATGTTTACGCAATAGCCCTTTTCGTGGTTTGAAAACAAGTTGCGCGAGGAGTCTGTCGTTTTGCACTAAAGCCAGGCAGAATCGCGGCAACAACAAAAACAATCAAAAACAAGCTCAAAGAGAGGTGACCTAAAAATGTCCTCTTTGAGCTTGTTTTTGCAATGTCAGGAATAATAATTTTGTTGGTGAAAAAGATCATAATTTTGATATGACTTGACGCTCTTGTTCATTTAAGGTCTGCTTTCATTTTAACCACAAAAAGGTCTATTACGAATACGTGAATATCATAAAAATGCGTTAAGAAGAGCAAAAGATATAAGATGAACTTTCGCAAGGCGTTTAAGGTAAAGTCAAAGCATCAAGACTTACCACTTGGAGGTACAGATTCTACAACAAAACAAAAAAATTACTAAAGTGATGTACAATGACTGAGCCAATCAAATTCAATGATAACACAGCAAGTACTAGTCCCTTTAATGGTTCACTGCGTCATCATCGTCAAGGTAGCTGAGCCTTCGCATCGAATCGAGACAACCGTTGAACGTGCAATGAAAGGAACCCGTGAATAATTGTCTGTAGGTATGAAAGATGGTTTTGCGTCTATCATTGCACGCTCAAGGGTCGTATTGCATCGATATATTTCAAGATGGCATAGGGAATATCGTCAAGGAGACAACTGAAAATGATAATGATTGAGCGAGAATTAAGGTAAAAGATTGGCCTTCATTTGCATGCGAGGCTTCATGACTCGTTGTATTGCCAGTTTTATCCACGTACCGATCGCTTCTCATGTCCTATTACTTGACCTTAGGAAATTAGCTCTTTAAGAAAGTTTGCTTTTTCATACAAATACATTCTCCATTTCCAAAATAGCGCATGGTTATAAAGGTAGAGGCCATGCAGTCAAACCTCCATTAAACGGCCCTCTATTTAGCGACCACCCCCCATTATGCGTTCACTCATGAATTCCCGAAAGTCGTTTATCATATACATTTAATGTATAACCGCGACCTCCATTAAACGGTCAACCTCTGTTAGTCGATCAACTTGTGACCACTTTATAGATGTTTGACATACTGTATTAGTGTATCGAGAAATTAAAAGTAAACTTACTTCTTTCGCAGTTCTCGCCAGTGTAACCAACAGCACATTGACATTCGTAAGAATAATGTTTATCGATGCATGTGGCTCCATTTTTGCAGGGTTTCCCGACACAATCATCAACGTCTGCAAATCAAGTTTACAGGAAAGTGAGTGATTGAGTGACTGAGTGAATCATTCGCCTTAAGACAGAGCCTTCCTTTGGAAAACTGAAAGTATGATCTGCCCTACGATAATGTGCAAGATCCGAGTTGTTGATAGACGTAATAGAATATGAGAAAATTATACTAAATTATATAGAGGATATTACTTGGGCGCACGGAGATACGGGGAATTTATCTTTGAGTGTCGAAAAGATCTTCCGTATCTCCAAGCGACCATGTAATATTCTGTTTATCATATAATTACATATAAAATCAAATTATGTCGTAACTAATACCTTTTTTCTTACTTCCACTATATAGAGAAACCTCGAAATGGAGAAATATAGGTATTTCATAGATAATTATATGGTAAAATAAATTATGCTTGACAGTTGTAGACGAAGGATTAACGTCCGAAACGTCAGTAAGTTATTTCACATACTTTTTTTACGGTGTCAAATTTATCTTTTTACACAACTGTTTCTTTAGAAACACCGACGCAGCTCACACTAGTTTACCGCTAGTTCCCACCATTATGCTTGACAGTGCTTTTTTAAGCTTCAAAAATCAGTAAGAAGAATGCCCGGTACATACCCGGTCCAGATCCACAATACCGTAGGCTACACACAGGAGTTTTATCCAGCTCGTATATGTAGAACCCACTACAGTTGCGCACACGTATGTTATTCGTCCATTTGCAGCAATCGGCAGCCCAGTGGTAGCATACTTTACGAGTAACAATTCCATCTGCCTTACTTGGATGCTTTCCGGTCATCCAACCGGGTGCGTGAGTTCCACAGTGTTTTACTGGGGGACAAACAGTTGCAATTAATGTACCCGCTGAGCCTTGAAAGCGATACCAGAATTTGGTGAGATCACCCTTGTCACATCTAACATTGACTGTGGGTGTCTTCATAAATCGGTCAGGAGTGTTCAACAACTTGTAGTATGAACAACCTGTTCAAAGAGAAAAGCAGAAGTTTTGTATGTCATTAATCTGAGCCAGGTAGCACCGCTCGGAACGGGTCTCATGATAGGTTGAGAAAACAATDRACAAACAATAGATAAGYCTTYBAAYAATATAACAAAACCTAACCTAACAATAGTGGTGCTGTACTTAAGGAGCAATCAAAAAGCAGGTTTCAATTGTAAGTATTACTTAATAGAGTAGATAAGTCTTCCAACAATATAACAAAACCTAACCTAACAATAGTGGTGCTGTACTTAAGGAGCAATCAAAAAGCAGGTTTCAATTGGTACTGCTTTACTGATTAATCTCGAGCCCAGAGTCTTCACGGCTAATGTCAGCGGTATGATGACGCCGGAAAGACTCTGGGGGAATCGACTGGATTTGCGACGCTTTTCCGTCCACAGGCAACCCAATCTCAATATGTGACTTCAACGGTCAAAATTTGATTTCTTTAAGTTTGTGTTTTTAAAAATAAAAATGATTGACCTTGATAACTTGTCTTTTATCATTTGGCGGAGTTTGAAGCCGTTAGACAGCGGTTTTACCTCTTGGTTTTTACGTCGAATTTTTTTTATTACTGTAATTTGGAATTACTAAGGAATTGGTCCAGACTTTTTAAATTGTTTGTGTTATGTTGTTCTTGGTTGAATAGACCAAAATAACAATCATAGCAATAATTAATAGCAGAAAATCCTTTTCCAATGTAAAAATAAAGAATAACGTTCTCTTTCATGTTTTTTTGTATATTAAATCATTCCTTAGTTGACGTCACTTCATTTGCATTTTCTAAGTTTCAATTGCCCATAACTTGGAAAATACAATTTGATATCAAATTCTTTCTTTACAGATGTACTTAGCAGCATTTTCTCTTCTAGATGAGAATGAATTTCTAATGGTGTCAAAGCATCAAGACAATACTTACCACCTGGTCGAGGTGGAGGTACTATAAAACAAAAAAAAAAACATTAGTGATGTACAATTACTTAGCCAATCAAATTCAGTTATGCCACATCAAATACTAGTCCCTTTAATAATGGTTCCCTTCGCCATCTTGAAAGGAAGCCATGCCTTTGGATCGAATCGAAATGGCTGTTGAGCGTGCAATGATAGAAACCTGTGAATAATTGTCTGTAGGTGTGTGAAAGATGGTTTCGCGTCTATCATTGAGTCGTCTCGCCTCTATGTAAAGGCATGGTCACCTTTCAAGATGGCGCAGGGAATCGTGAAGAAGACAACTGAAAATGAGAATGACCGAAACTTAAACTGAAAAGCAAAAGAAAACCTGAAAAATTGATTTATTTCCAAGAGTTTTAATAGACTCACTTTCAGTAATAAGAGAAAAGGATTTTGCTTAAAGGATAATACTGTATTGTAAATACTGCAATAACATAGGGAACGATCTACTGTGTGAACTTCCTTTGCCGGCCCCTGTCAAAAAGTTTGGCAAGCACCACTCAGTAGTACTAGATTAAGGCCCTGTTTACATGAGATAGAGTGCCCTTACGTGGTAGGGCTAACTCTTTTGTTTCTAGGGGCACCCTATCTCATGTAAACAGGGTCTAAGATAGACTTGATAACGAAGAAGTGACAGAATTACAGTCTTAAATGAGTACCTTTTTGAGCAAGGTAAATATGTTTACAATATTTGTTCGCATGTCAACAAAAGATGATATGTTTACACAAAATATCGTATCTCTACTAAGGCTATCTTAGTAGTACTAGATAATCGTTTTCTTCCATGTTGCTATTGTAGCTCCGCTACTAGATATTACCTATTTTTTATGATATTAGTCATGTACCTGGTTTTCTAACGGTCCTTCGCCGTCCCAGCCAAGCAGTCTGTCAAATCCAAACAAACAAAAAAAAGGTGAAACGCTACATCGACTTTTGAATTTTAATCAAATAAAAATAATTTAATATTAGCTTACTGTTTGTGCCAAAAAGCTGATCACTAGCGGAAAGATCAAAAACTTGAGAATCATCTTTTAGTCGAAACTGTCAAAGAAAAGAAATTGCATTAGAATAAAACTCGTAGACACAGTCGTCTTATTTTAATTAAAAGGTGCATTATTTTGATGAAATTTAGTATGGTAGTATGGATAATGAATATACCAACCCATCTAACATGATATGATATAACAAATATTACATGGGCGCGCGTAGATACGGAACTTATCTTCGAGTGTTGAAAAGATCACTCAAGAGTGAGCGTAGCAAACAAGTCAGAGATTTTCAACACGAGAAGATAAAATTCGTATCTCCAAGCGACCATGTAATATTCTGTTTATCATATCATTTTGAATATAAAATTTATCACGACTAGGCTCGACGTTTTGGTGCCATCAATCATTATTATGATATAGATGATTTCTAACGCGCGCTCTGATTGGCCAAAAAAGTGTGGTTTATGAGAGTTATTAGAATCCTCATAAAACGATAGTTTTCCTACTGTCTGAATTTAAGAATTTCTAATTTAAGAATTTGGTAAACTTTTCGGAAAATTGATCATAGATAGAATTAAACTTCAAACGGCTCAGTCTCAGAATACAGAATCTCAAGACGGTGATCTCTGAAACACTACGCTGTGGATTTGCTTGTTTTCTCATAATCAAAGTCCGTTTGTAGAGATGGTTAGAGTGGATTCACCTCAAAAGACACGTCACGATCGGTTCTCACTGTGCATTCTCCCTAACCGGCAAAAAGCGCAGACTTGGTATTCAAAGCAAGCCTTACTAAGGGTGCTTTCAATTTAGAGGTAAATAATGCTTTTTCAGTCATTTCGAGGTTTTCTGTAGAATAGAATTTGAAAAAATGAATTTCCTAACTAAATGAGAATGATATATAATGACAATTTCTCTGGGTCTGATCAGCCAGTTCTGACAAAAGGAAAGCGCACTAAGTTAAGCATTATATCCGAGCAGTTTAAGTTTATGATATATTAAAGATTTATTGCTAATCTTTGAACAGCATTGAATACTTCTCTTGGAAAGGAATTTCAGTTAATAAAACTTTATCATCTTGGAAAGGAATTTCAGTTAAAACTTTATCAAAGCTATCTTACTCAATTATTACAAAAGTATTTGCTGGAGATCGAGCAAACGAAATCTTCAATAAATGACGATGAGGTCTGATGACAAGWTTACAAAACCTATACTAAGATGAATTTTGGACAAAAAAGTTTCCTTCCCAAATACATACATCAAAAGCTTCAATTTTAAGCAATGTTGATCATAAATAAAGAATCTAACCTTAGTCTTCCATGGATGCCTTTTTAAGTTTCTCCTTCAAGCCGTCAGCAACCTTGAGCTGAAATAAACGTTTGAGTCGTMGTTGAATTCGTTTCGTTCATAATTTGAATTATCAATTTACCTTAAAACCAATAGGAACGMAGGTTTTCGCTTGGGAATCGTGAGCTTTGCGCAATAAGAATAATAGATCACTTTATGATGAATTCCATGGTAAAACAAATCCTCTCTTCTTCAATGGTGCATCGTGGAATTAGGATCCTTTGGGACAACCTTGTGAATTAGAAAGCCTTGCCCAAAGTGATGTGTTTTCATACCCTTTTTTTATTGTTGTTTGATTCCATAGAGAATATAGAACAAAACAGTGTATACAAGGTCGATCTTCAAAAGATGCATGAAAGCCGAATTAGACGCCACCACTTTAGCTTACAACCATTGCATCCAATATKCCTATAACTATTAAGTCAGCCCTACAAAGGCAACAACTATCGCAGGGCTATTAAACAATAYATTTTGAATCTGCACTACTTCGGCAGAGGGCATGCGATGGCTTTAGGCAAACTTTTGTATCGTCTAATTTAGACTTAAAATGTGTATAAATCAAAAAGTTTGTTTAAAGCAAAGTAAGATTTAATGTGTGTTGAAATGTTTAACACCTTATCATCGATGTTTGTTTGCATGTACAGTTAACTCTCTTTGAACGACCACTCTAGTAAACGACCATCTCCCGTAAGCGACCACCTTTTAATTTTCCCGTTTTGTTCAGTTTTCCATATAAACACTGTATAAAAAACTCTCTCGTAAGCGACCATCTCTCGTAAGCGACCACTTTTTCCTGATCCCTAGGTGSTCGCTTACGAGAGAGTTGACCGTATYATATATGGTCGCTTTGTGCGTTAAGGTGTACATGAACCCTTAGGACAATCATCTTATTGGAAAGAGAACATGTTATATTGACAAACTTCGGAATAAATAGGCGAAAGGGGATGAAAAAATGGAAGAATGAATTAATAAATAAATAATAAAAACAATTTTCAAATCGTGTGAAAATAAGAATAAGTATTTAAAGGATAAAAACAGTTCAAAATCTTTTGAAAAAATAGAAAAAATAAACTGATAAAGAATATTCAGAATAATTTATACTATAAACACTGTTACATCGTTGATAACAACGTGTTTGTTTAAAAATTATATAAAAATTGATGAAAAATGAGMTTAAAAAAAGAAATCCTACGACGAGGATGGGATTCGAACCCACGCGGGCAGAGCCCATTGGATTAGCAGTCCAACGCCTTAACCACTCGGCCACCTCGTCAAGATGTCTACAACCTGCAAAATKTTATAATCTTATTTGCTTTAATCCCTGACCTTTCAATCGTTCTTTAATACTTCCTGTTTGAACCACGAAWTTTTAATAATTAATAACTCAAATTAKTWATRCAGTAATTTTTACCGTAGTTTGTCACGGTTTTTTATTCCTACATTAAATAGTCGGGTAGATTTTATGACCTGAATTTTGTTCTAATTTAAATAAATCCAAAATTAAAATCACTATGAATAAGAASAAATCAAAATTAAAAGGATACGAGATAGTTTATAAGTTAGTTGCGTTGCTAAGTGACGATTTCTTTTTACATGGCACAGGTAACCCGCCAAGATTTTAACAAATTTGACATTGTTATTTTATTTTTTATTTAGATACATTTATATAGTTTAGCAGACAGATTATTTTTGAAACTCACTTTATCATTATATATAAATACTTAATGAGGTAATTAAAGGGTCATGTTCAACCAGTTCAATGCAGTCATATTTTGTCTTTTTTTTTTTCAAATATAGAAAATTAGATGACAAATATCCATTCGCAATCCGTTTCCATGATCAAATCTAACAATATCTCGATTCATAAAGCATAAAGGAATAATAAAGAGTAARGTAAAGCTCGAAAGGGATGACGGTGGACCATGGCCCTTTAACATACATTGACTATATAGTCATTAGTATCTTGTAACAGATGCAATTTCAATGCAATTTTTGCTCTTTTACACCAGTTAAGATGCAGACATATTCTGCTGTCTGTCGACAAATTTAAGCWTTAGGTTTTTGCCTATTAATTCTAGTTGTAATTGCGGAAATGACCTAATCGCCTAATGATGGAAATGTGAAAAAATATCTGTTCACTTAAGTATATGTATGTTTAAAAGGACTATAAGCTACTCGAGTATCACGCAACTTGTGCGATYATCGTTAAGGCRTAAAATTKGTTCTCGTGCCTGCATTTAGACACTAGTTCAGTTCTTTTGTTAAGAAGTGAYGGATTCTTTTCTTGTTTTCTCTTGATTTTTTGTTCACTTATGTACAGATTGAGTTGATTATAAGCAAAGATTTTTAAAAAATGTCGTAAAACAAACTTAACAAATCTAAGCATCGTTGACGGCATTATGACGTAKTCCATCACGTGGTACCCTTGGAACATCACGTGCATTCAGTTCCAGCTCTCCAGACTCATTATCAGGACGAGTTAAACAAAAGAGAAACGARAAAGCCTTTTTGAATTCGCGTCTGAACGGCCTGTTCATGAAYCCGTAAACAAATGGWGTACTGGCGCTACTYAGGGCGACTAGYGCGCTGAGAACCCGAACAGCAACMGTCGGAATACTWATCTTGGCGGCCATGATAAACAGCAAAGCAATCGAGACAGGTAGCCAACAAAYCACAAAGGTAAAAACCACAGCAAATAAAGTGTATGTAATTTTCACTTCGTTGGCTCCAACTCGTAWATCACTCGGCTGGCTCCGAGTGCTTACCGAACAAAATATTCGTCGCTTGTGTTTACGAACAAACCTCGACACTGCAGCGTAGCAGARGATTATAATAAGCATTGGTAAAGCGATGAACATAGCTGTAGCGAAAATGGTGTACGGAACTTGAGACTTGAGATTATAAAACGAAAGACTGCAGCCTGCTGAATGTGGGACGAAGATAAACCTCGCTGAGTTCGAGAGTACAGGCACAAGACGCACAATAGCGGGCATGCTCCATATCGCAACCAAAAGTCCAAATGTTTTCTTAGATGTAAATATACTTCTATAATAGTCAGGCTTAATGATTCTAACATATCGATTTAAAGCGATTAAAGTTATTAYATATAAAGATACGTGGACAAGGTACTTGCTGAAAAATCCAAAAATYTGACAACCAATATTACCAAACACCCAGCGTCCATTRATAGACGTGGCCGACGCCATTGGAAGAGTAATAACGGCAGTGATTAAATCATTCACGGCGAGAGCTACAACGAGCATGTTGGTCATTGTGTGCAGCGGTTTTCTCTTGTAAATGACGTAACATATCGTRAGATTTCCTGTRAGTATAATGACGTCAAGAGTTACCAGGACGACGGACTCGAGGATAATCCAAGTGGTCGAGCGAGGAGGKACTAGGTACGACATTCTTTGAGCCACTGTAATGAAAACAAAGGAAGATGTTACTATTTTGCGACAAAATACGGCAAAGGAAAAGATAAATTTAACACCGTAAAAAATAGGTGAGGAATAGGTGAAATAAGAGAAGAACGAAGGATTTTTAAAAGTCCGAAACTTGAGTAAGTTGTTCCGGATATTTTTTTCGGAGTTAAATTTATCTTTTTACACAACTGTTTCTTTAGAAACACCGACGCAGCTCACACTAGTTTACTGCTAGTTTCCCCCATAGCCATAGAACCGAATTGGGCGTCATTCTTTGATATAAGGACCCCGATCGACATGCAAGCGATGGTCAAACTAATTTTTAATAGATCATAAAGTACAGTATCTTTTCATTTGA